TTGGGAAAATCGTCACGCGCCACGAAATTATTTCCAGATCGATAGCTAACTCGGTTGAGATTCACGTTCCTGTGCCCGGGGATGTCGACACTCCGCAATGCAAGGCTAGCACAGGTGGGAAGATACTTGAGCGGAGCGAAGCGATTTTTATTAGTCATTTTTAGGTTCGGTGAAATATCATCCGGAGAAGGACTGTGTGATATGGTCGATTAAACAGTTCCCTGGTCAGAAGGATTACATTATGACGTCGAATTTCGGCCTTCCTAGTGTTTCTATGGAAGCTGCCAGGTGAGCATGGACGTGTTACAATCTCAATGGAGTTTCACCACCCTAGTGATATGAAAAATAGTTTCACTTCACGAATGTGAAATATTTGTCCGGTTTAATTCGCCAAGTCACTTCACTTCATATCGCGTTTTTCACATGGAGTATCACACCACTTCACGTAAAACGGGTTGTGAAACTCCATTGTTACTCATCGAAACAGCAATAGAGTTGATGATGCGTTATTCACTCGCGAATAGCATTTACTAGAACGCGAGGTTCAGACGATTGTTTCGGGTCTTGGTGAATCTTTGTGATGAAAAAATTTCTAGATTTTTACGTGGTCTGTGACGGTTTCCCAATATTATTTGACTTGGTATGAAATACGGCTTAACATTTGATAGCAACAGTGTTGGAGTATATGGTCGCTCTCCTCGACTGAGTTCAGTTATTTTCTCACTGTTAAATGAGAATCTACTTACGAATTCTGGTAGAAGTGTACAGAAAACAATAATAATTTTTCAAAATTTCTTCAGAATTTGCTCGTGGAATTTTTGAACATCTGCATATTTATCGAATAAATATGCAGATGTTAAAAAAAACTATAAATTTTATCACCCACACTGAATGACAGGTTGAAGGATCTATGGTAAGTTCAATATAGCAAACTAGCATACTGGTTGGATGCACAGCTAACATCACAATATAAAGGGAATTATCGAGGACGCTCTTTTACAGTGTGGGGAAATATGTACATGGAAAACACTGGAGTTTCACGATCCGTTTTATGTGAAGTGGCGTCGTAAAACTCGGTGAAAGACGCGATATTCGCGGTGATATGCAGTAGTCGTGAAATATATTTTTCACTAGTGTTTTTCACATCACTAGGGTGGTGAAAGTCCAACGTGTGTTGGTGAAAATATGTAAATTCTGAGAAAATTTCGAGAAATTCTTATTGGTTTCTGTACACCACTCAAATGAGCTGAGGAAAGCGGATATATATTCCTTCAACACTTTTTAGTCTTGAAGAGATCACAGCATTTTCATTATCGAAATTCGCTGAGTCCAGTTGGTTATTGTTTTTGTCCTGCAGGGACCTTTATGCGAAGAAACCGATCTCAGTGAAATTCGAAATACCATATTTTACGGTCAGCGGGCTAACTGTAAGGTATTTGAAAATTGTGGAGAAATCAGGGTAAGACTTGCGGTGTTAAAATCTTGATAGAGTTTCCCGATATTTTAGTGGAGTTTCACGACTACCCGTTTAACGTGAAGTGGCGTAATACTTCACGTGATTTATAGAACGTGTATGTTCCAGCGAGCGATAACGCAAATTGTTTTTCACGGAGGGAATTGTGAAACATATTTTCCCACTAGTGTTTTTCATATAACGGGTGAAACTCCGATGAACACAGCCGAGCTGTCTTCGCTTTAGGAGGTTAATAGTGTTCATTCATGGTGGTGTTTGAAAAACTATTATGAAATGTATGGATCACGCTATAGCCGTTGATGGAATATTTGAATCGGAGTAGGAGGTAAATATGCACATGGTCAACTACATGTTCGGTGACAGTATGAAAATTATGAGAAAATTTTAGGAAATTCTTATTGGTTTATTTACATTTCTACCAGAGTTCCTATGTTAACTTGTATAATGTTCTGAGGAAACTCCTAAGCTCAGAAGCTGAGGAAAGTGAACATAAATTCAAACACTGATATGAACACCTGAGCGGAGACGGAGGCTATTTCCATTGTTCCTCACGTGCTGATCTATATCGTTATTATCATGATGTATGATATAAAGCACATAAAGCAAACTATAGTGGGCTGAGTGTATAAC